GTTCATGCTACTTCCCCTAAACCCTTTCCCTCGCCGCCCGCGCGCGTCGTCGTCGCACCGCTGCAGATGAGAAACTTCAATGTTAAAACACCTTCAAGTCTTTGGACCTTTCACCATGCCGTTCCATCGCCTTCCTTCTCAACGTGGTAACAGAGTCACTGAAAACCAATGTCAGAGTGTGACACTAACTGAGTCCCGCGCAACCCATTCTGGCCATAAACCACAAGCGGGCACTTGTTGCTTTGCACATCACCCCCTGTCCAGGAGTTGTTTTCCATTGGTGAGGAGCATCAGGAACAGCCCGCAGATAGCGATGAAGAGGAGGAGGACGAGGCGGACCAGCTGTGGAGGGTCGAAGGGTGAATCTGTTGTGGCACGGCTCTGGTTTCGAACGAGTTGCGTCCCGCATGGGACTATCCCGCTAGTGACGTGCAGGATGGTGCATTCAGATGGATTCAGTTTTTTGAACAGTTTGGAGAAACAGATTTGAATCGACACATTGAACCAAATTGATCGTTCTTTTAAAGTTTCCAGGTATAGGTGTTTTCTGCCTCCTTTTTGTCGCTTGTACAGGGAGTGTCCATCGCCTTCGACACGATATATCAGCCAGATGGACAGGCATTTGGAAGGCTACTAAAAATGATGTATATATATATATAATAGTTTCCATCAGTTTCATGTTTGGTGTCGGTGTCAGATGTTTAAGGCGTTCACTCCGGAGTTCAAGATAACTGATCTCTTGCGCACACATACCATGAGTTCCGGGCCGCAAGAACAAGCGCTGAACATTTATAATGGAGTTAGTCATGTTCCCATTTGTATTTACTGTTTTCGGGTATTTCGTGTCTGGAAATCAGAGCGTTCAACTTCGGGCAGACCATACTGCTTTAGCTTGGGCCCTGCAACCGAACGAATGTTTTGGTGGCGGAGGCCCAAAGCCCCAAAGCCCGGCCGGACAGCTGCCGGACGATTGGTTTTGCTTAGGGTAGATGGTGAGGTTCCCGATGCACCCTGGGTGGTCTTTTTTCGTCAAGAAGGGTACCTCGGAACATGGGATGAAAGTGGGTCGTTTTGTACCATTTTGTAGCCCTTTTTGGTTCGGGTCATGTTCCCATGTTCGCCCTCGAGGTCTCCTCCCCAGGTCGAGTCGACTCCCCACCGGCCACCAAGGGGCAGCGTCACCGGCAGCGATCGGACGCTGGGCATCTTCGGTCCGATGTCGAGAGACCACAGCTGTGTGCAGCCCGAGCGTTTGGGCTCTGTCAACCTGGCCGGATTGTTGAGGAGAGCGTTTGGGCTCTCGTAATTCAGGGTTTAGGGTTTGTCCCGTACGATAACGATTGAGCTGAAAGATTCCTCGGCAAATATTCCCAGACACGACCCATGGGACTGCCATATTGACATACATTGACCCCCAGTCAACCACCCCAACTGATCGGCAGTCCTATGGCAGTCCCAGATGGCGGTCGTGTTTGGGATTGGTCTATTCTTTGAAGCGAACCGACTGGGGTGTCGTTGCCACGCCACGTTCGGTCTGGTCTCCCATCACCTGCTGGGAGTTGCGGTCGGTCATGTGCACGGCACATGACCGATTCTCATTGCGCCCTCCAGGGCGCAAGACACTTAAGTAGATGTACTTGTCTCAGAAACGAGGGCATGGCCGTTGTTGTTTGGCATCAGTAGTATTCGATTCGCTTGTGAAGGAGATATGGGAACAACCACACAAGTAATAAACCACTTGACACCCTCAAAGGAACTAGAGTAATTATATAGTAGTATGCAGTATGTAGCAGTAACTCAGTAGAAACACCAGTGTTCCTCAGAGCCCCTTTTGGGACAGAAACTGACGGATTTGGGACACTGCGTGGGGTTTGCCATCGCTGTCCAGCTTTACCGAGTCCACGGCAAACTCATATGATATATGAGTTGGGAGTGTCCAAGTAAACCTGTAACAGTAACAGTCCGGGTTCACAAGAACATCACTATTTCAGAGATGTCGGCCTCCAACCTAACCATCATCATCATCATCATCATCATCATCATCATCATCATCATCATCATCATCATCATCATCATCATCATCATCATCATCATGTGTTTGCAGGGAATAGGATATACCCAATATATGAGCTTGATGAATTACTGTAGCGCCAGCCAGCTCTGTAAAGAGCTTTTTTCCCGAGGTTGCCAGTTTCAGGTCTGGAGGTCGTCATGGACTCACTTCTGTGACGGACTCAAAGGGACTCAGGTTGCCCTTTCAGGAAAAACAAGAACTTTCTGTCGTGGACAGTGTTTTTTACATATTTTATCATGGGTTTTCTTCCCCATGTGTATAATATATTGATGAGCAACATTCATCCGAGGAGTCGATGGAAGCGCTGGAAGTGTCGATCGATGCGTTGCTGCGGCATGCGGTGTACCTGGGAAATGTGGCGCTGACTGAGCCGAAAGAATCTTGGATGTTTGAGGATTATTTGAGGTTGCACTACTAGGAGCAAGGGCATCGCTACTAGGAGCAAGGACGCTACTAGGGGCTCCTGGCTGAGGGGTTCAGGCTGTGGTTTCCAATAAAATCTATACTCCATGACACTGCAGGGTGGCCTTTTGCCATGCAAGGAGTGAAACCCGAAGAGGTGTGCCACTCAAGCCTTGCGTTCTCGGCTTTGTATCATTGTTAAAGGTTCCATCACAGAGCTCACGAATCATAGATGATCTGCTCAGCGCAGGTTCCACCAGTTTCATCCACACACGAGCTGGTGTCTCTTTCTCAACAGTTCCATGGGATTTCCCGGCGATCGACAGTGCCATGAGGGCGGGAATCTCTACCAGCCAGAGAGTGACATCGACTGGCGGTCCCAACCAGCCAGTCGATCTGGGGGGAGACCATCCAAGATCTGTGGAAGGACCAAAAAGCAACGACATCTCCCTTGTCAGCTTCTTGTTAAACCAGCTTGGAACATCAGTAAGTGCATAGGTTCTTCTGGTGGTTGATTATTCTCTTAGAAACAACCAACATCATCGTTGTTTTCCAAATTGTTTAAAAAACATCAATATGTTAAGGAGGTCGCCAGCGGAGCTGGCTTTGACTCACTTGGCTCCTGTGGGCTCGTGGTGATGCTTTGGAATCCTGAGTCACGACGTACTACCAACTCAACCTATCCAGATGAATGCACCCCGATTAACATCACATGTTCAAGTGATTCAAGTGTCGCCAGAGTTTCTGGTTCTTTGAGTGGATGTTCCCCCTGCTTGTTCGGGTTTTAGATCGTTTACTCATGTTTACTCCATCAGTTTCATTTGGGCGCATTGAACGAAAGACTCATGAAACAACAGGGATGCTTAATTACCCTGTAAAGTAAGGTTGAGGAATATCTCATCATGCTGCAACTATATCCAAACAGGTTCCATTATTTTTCATAAGTCAAACAGCCCCCAACTCAGAGCAATGACAACCAACAACCAACAACCAACAACCACAACAACAACAACAACAACAACAACACCAGCAACAGCAACAGCAACAGCCACAGCCACAGCCACAGCCACAGCCACAGCCACCACGACCACGACCACGACCACGACCACGACCACGACCACGACCACAACCACAACCACAACCACAACCAGCAGGCATTTGCAGCACTCCCTGCCGGACATTTGCACCAAAACCAGGTCAACCCTTGCAATGATTTCGTTGGTGGCTCCTCTGGGGATTCCCAACATCGTGCACTGGTGACTCCCACTTTGATGTACACCAACTATGATGGACAGCACCGCCACTGCCACGACACACGCTAAGCACCACCCCCACCACCTACACCACATTGATCAAAAGGTAGATGGACTACCTACCAGCACCTTCCGTTGGTAGGCTCCCATAGACTACCAGTCTAACTACCATACACCTACTTTTGTGGATTTGCAATCTGTGCACTTGATCCAAATCCAAATCCATGGGTGTTTCCCTGGCAGGATCGATCGTCCGAAATCCATGGGAAACCACTCGTCCTGACGGTCCTGACGCCGCCTCCTTCGCCTTCGTCCTTCGCTTCGCTGCAAGGACTCACAGGACAAGGTCGATCGGGTCTTCGCGTTGGCCCCTTGGATCGACTGAGTCTTCGCGCCGACGACGGAGGGGTCTCACAGGAGTCCGACCGGTTTTTCGGCCGAGGTGTTCCTGCTGAAGGAAGGCGAACCCAATGGAATTTGGACTCACCATATTGTGTGGGCCATTTTTTTCCCACAGATTTAGGTTGTAAAGATGTGGGAAACCATGGGGTTCCTCACCTCCTGTAGATGGCACTGAGGCACCATCTAGCACCCATAGCTATAGCTTGGAACTTCTTCGATCTGGGAGCTTTCGGATTTGTAGCATGAAGTTCTCGGAAGGTCATGGCACAGCTATGCAGATTCCTGGAGCTGCGCAGATGTGCAGAATGGTTTGTTTGGCTGATTGAAAACCTGGGTTTACAACGACTCCCATTCATCAAAAAGTAAAACACATGTGCTAAGTTGCCCAGATATCCGAATACGATCATTAAACATCATGATATACATTTGGATTATTGTATGTGAGGAATACAGCATCCTACGGTACAGTATGCTCTATTGGTGTACGTACCGCTTTTGGATAATCTTGTTTTTGTTTGACACACTTCGTAAGTGCTTGAATGCACAATTCACGACAGCAAGCCGACTATGGACACACTGTTGAAAGTTGGTGGCAGTTCCTGGAAGCCAGGGTAACAGAGAAGTTCTGCACCACAACAGAGGGAGTCATGTGGGATGTATACTGGCATATAATGTGTACCTCGGCTTCCAGTTACTGGAGGTCTCTATCAGCACAAACATGCCACAGGTGATTTGTTCGAGAGGTAATTGAAAGAGTCCCAGCTTCCTCTTACGGTTATACGCAAACACATCGCCGAAGAACAGCATGCCGAAGACCCTGTGGCTTCAGTTAGATCCGATCTCAATCACCGGTACCAGCGGGTGGTACGATGGCCTTCACGTTGAAGTACCGGAACAGCTTCATCGATGCAGAGGATCGAATGCCTGAGGGAGATGATCGGATGCGACGTGCTAGCAGTTTGCCACCCAGAATCTCAAAGATGGTCGAGGTTGAGGAGATCTTGGAAGACGAGGAGGGGCGAACAAGAGATGTTCAGAAACAACAAAAAAACACTGGAATGATCTATAATAGAGTCTATAGTCTATAGTGATAGACACCCACTACAGCGAAACAATCAAATTCATCACTACGGAGACCCCCTGGTCCGCTAGACTCATTGGTCCGAACCTAACCGGGCCGTTGCCTGGGAGGTCTCCCTATTCATATACACACTCTGCCTTCAACCTGCCAGTTTCTCCATGTCGGTGTTCGTGAGACTCGAGGTTTGACCTCCAGCGACCGACAGCGGTGAAAAAGGGGACCGAGACCTTCCGACCTTCCGTTCGCCACCGAACTGCTTCTTCCCCCTGGGTTTTCTCGGTCCCCTGTCGGTCGTGTCACGGTCACTGGCACTCAGTCGTTCGGTCACGAACATTCAGAAGCTGGGACCTGATGTTCCTGCAGGAGAGCTTGCAATGTTACGTGCAGAAGCTCTCCGAGGATCTCTCCAAGTCCTTAGATCGCAGCCCGCTGGCCCGCTGCAACCGAGGATCTTCCCCCCCGGAGCGCCGCTCTCAGTCAGAAGAGATGGAGTTCGGCGTGATGGGTCAGCGCCTCCCAGGGAGTGTGGGTCACCCAGAACTCTGCAGGCGGCCTTGCATTTACTTCATGGCAGGAGAGGGTTTAAAGGGAAGAGCGTGTGGGGGAAGGAAGATACTTTTGTTTTCCCGGCAAGACGCCGTGAAAGGGATGGAATAGGATTGATGAAGTCCAAGCAAGCATTCCGACAGATCCTGAACGAGTCCAACAGACTTGACTTTCTCAACAGGTAGTTTGTATTCTGACTTAGATGTCAAACAAGGGCCTGTCCCGCTCAGGTTTCGGAAGGCAAGCCCTTCATCCGCTCTTCATCCTATGTCCATTTGGAGAAATGTTGACCCAGCATATCAACCTTTTGCATTGGGAAACGAAGCAGGTCCAGGTTCGGGTTCTTAGGTCCGGCCGCGATCCCGGACACTCATGACACGAGAATGTGTAGACATGCTCCAAAAGCCACGAGAGCTGCCAGAATCGGAATCGTGCATTGCGAAACTTCCTATCCTCAGGACCCTCAGGTGAGGGTCTCTACAGGCACAAGCGATCCTCGCCTAGTTTTATGAAGTTCAAGCAATCCTCGCCTCCGCCTCCACTGTGTTTGCTTCGTCCAGTGATGACCGGACTGACTGCACGCTTGGCCAGACCCTTCGCGGGAGCTGGATGCTTTAGGTGCTTTGCGCTGGAATTAGGTGCTGCGTGTTTAGTGCTTGGCGCTTTAACCCGATCGTACGCTTGCTGTCAGAACACATTAGACCTGATGCCAGAACAAATGTCAGAACCTACAAAAATTTCGTATCAATACGTATTGCCGGGTTACATCTCCGAGCAAATGTCAGAAGGCATGCCAGAACAAATTTCAGAACCCATGAGGAACTGACGGGACCATACGGGACCTATGTCAGAACACATGCCAGACTTCATGCCAGAACAGATGTCAGTCTGTATGTCAGAAGAGGCACAGATGTCAGAGCACATGTCAGGGCAAATGCTTTATCACATATGAGAACAGATGCCAGGTTACATGTGAGATCACATACCAGAGCAAATGCCGAAACACGCCAGAATTCATGTCAGAAGGTATGCCATACTTGCTGCCAGAACAAATTTCAGAACAACTGTGAGCATACATGCCAGGGCCAGAACGATGTCAGAAATTGTCAGAATACATATCAGACCAACTGTCCGAACAAATACGTGGTAGTTGCTGGCTGAACATGTGTCAGAATACATGACAGAACACATCTCAGACGCAAAAGTTGGAGCATATGTGAAAACATGTCAAAATACATGTCAGAACACATGCAAGTTTGATCCGATGCAAATGTCAGAACGTATGTCAAATGTACATGCCCGAACATATGTCAGGCCACATGTCAGACTCGAGGGCAGGACGCATTCCGGAAAGGATGTCAGAACACATTCCAGAACAATTCCAGCCTTTATGCTTGATGTGAACAAGCTTGTCTGTTCGCATACACGTCAGGCAGGCAATGTTTGTCAGAATCAGTCAAGTGTTGTGCCCTGCCTTCGCCTGCCTTTCAAATTGCCTCTCAGGGTGGGGATCACTGGAAGCGGCGGTTTCACAGTGTTCCCTCCGACTCCCGCGGCAGGAAACTGCGAGAACGGTGACAGTTGCACTTATTGCCACCAGCCACATTATGAGAAGACAGTGAAGCTCGATAAGAAACAGCGAAGCTTCATGCAGTCTTTATCCCACATCGATTTCTTCAGCCTGATCTTTCATTTTTGCCGTGAAAAAGTCGAGTTCCTCAACATCACCGAAGAGGCCGACGAAGTCTTGAAGATTTTGCAAGAGGAGGCAGGCAAAACACAATGGACCGAAACAATCAGCGTTGAATACTGTACCTTCTAATAGCCTAGGGATAGTTAATGAATGTTGACCATAGCTGAGATAAGATTGTCAATCCAAAGTTCTTCGTCAATCCGCCATTTGGGTTCCAGATTCCGCCCCATGTTTTACCCAGCAATCACAAACCAAAGACCCGCCACAGCCAGGTATTAGTGATGCCCAGTGGCCTCGACACTCATGGTTGGTGGTCGGACCGCAATGGGCGCAGCCTTCGAAAGACCCTGGTGTCTCGGTCGCGACCGGCGGACTGGACGGGTCGGCGGGTGGGATCTTGTATTTGTTGGATGAAATGGATTTTGAAGACTTCTCTTCGAATCTGTTGGGTAACATACGAAGAAATGATACTCATTTGGGGACCCAGGTGCGCGGATCGCACACGTTTTTTGTTGAAATTCCATTATTGAAGAGATTTGATTTAGGTTGTTCATGTCGGAGTGGCGTTTCTGCATACAGAATGCCCTGTCCCTTGCCATTGAACTCCAATCGGATGGTTTAGGGTATGCATATCAGATTGGCCCAGTCCAGCGAAAAGGCATTTCCAACGTGCCTGACACTTGAGTCTTGCAGTCTTCCACAGAGTTGGATGATCATGACGGCCAGGTAGGACAAGTGATTTCTGGTGTGATTGTTGCGTATGACTATTCTCCTTGGCAACCCAGCATAGCCACCCTGGCGCTTGGTGTTGTCGGTGATGGCAATGTTCATCCTTAAGAACTTGTTTCAGCTGGCCTCTTTTGCTTGAATGCCAGACTCATAGATCTATGCCTATGCATCATCACACAACGTATAGTGTATATATAGTCAAGGACAACTAGTAGGCAGGAACGGAACCTAGCCAAAAA